TTGCAGAGTGGAGCACGTCGAAAATTCCGACGACTCGAGATGAATGTCGCAATGATGAGGTGTGCGCAGCGCGGGCACGTGTTCGAATAGGTCGCTCTGATTCCATGTAAGAAAAAGAGCTGAAATGATTGATTAGGTAAGGAGCCCAAGGCTCTATAAGTACATGGCAAGGTAAGGGAGAATGGAGGAAAGGGGAATCGGAGGGAATCCCCATTGGGATCTCCGGAATCTCCAATTGGGTAATTGGAGATTGTGGGGATCACAATTGGGTGAGGTTGGGATTTAGTGAGTACACCCCAACCCACTAAACATTCCTAACCTAATCTAGGATATAAAAGTACAACTACAAAAGTAGGATTTGAAATCTATTTCTAATACAGTCCATTCATGGTCAACTCAAGCAGTTGGGGATAGTCTTCCCCGAGCAAGCCCCTGCAGCCGCTCTCCTAGTCGCCCTTTTTCCGACATACGAAGTCACACGCAAGATGCTCTTGGGTCTTGCTCCTGCGGACCTCACATTTGCCAAGGTCTCATCCGCGCTCCTTTCTGCCGAAAATGACAACAGCGCTCAAGCCAAGGCCAATGCAATCCGCGCTCCCGTGCCTCAAGCCTATGCGGCTTCGGCACCATTCCAGCGCAACCGCTTTCCCCCGTATCCCTACGTCATCAAGCGCGGCCTTCCTGCTGGCCAGGTGTGTGGCGGCACAAACCACGCTATCGCCTCCTGCTTCAAGAAGAAGGATGATGAGTGGTATGCCGTTAGTGGGACCGCCTTGAAGCCACCAAGCTGGATGGTCAATCGTGCTCCTCGCAAGGTCAATCAAGTCGAAGCGCAGGAATACGTGCAGGCTGCTGTAGCTCCTACTGCTGATGTGCGCCTCCACATGTTGTTCCCTGGCACTGCCGTGATTAATGAGACGATTTCGCAGTGTCCCGGCTCACAAAGCACCTCAGCCACAATAGAGTTCACCCTCGACAGTGGGGCCACTTACACGGTTCTCAAGGAAGAACACTCCTTCAAGCCATACGAGACACCAATCTGTCTACTAGGAGCAGACTCCAGTTTCACAACACACGCCAAGGGCTCCTCCACAGTTCCGTGCCCAGCTTTTCCTTCGGGCAGTGTCACCGGCATGTGTGTTCCCACCATACGCCACAATCTCATGGCCGAACACGAGCTCCAACGGGCAGGCATCACCACGATCTTCCCAGCACACTCGGATCGCTGTGACCTCCTTGACCCTAAGTCCAACAAGCTCCTAGCACGCTTCACACTCAACAGCAGCAAGCTCTACACGCTGCGTTCACCTGCACCTCTCGCCGCCCTCTCCCAAGCGCAAGCTGCCAACACCACTCTGTGTTCGTGTCGCAGCTTCGCCAACCCAACCATCCTCTACCATCATCGCTTGGGTTACCCCAACTTCCGTACGCTTGCCGACATCGCTTCCAAGAAACTTCTTCTTGGCCTCCCGTCGGCGCTTCCTCCACCAACAGACTCACCTGCACCCACCTGCCTGGACTGCACCAAGAGCAAGCTCAGGCAGCAGCCGCACCCTTCCTCCCCATCCGTCGCAGCTGCTCCGCTGGACCTAGTGCACATGGATGTCTGGGGCCCAGCTCCAGTCGCATCCCGTGGCGGTCATCGGTACTTTCTTACACTAGTTGATGACCACTTGCGGTATGTTTCCGTGCACCTCCTCCATTCCAAGGCGGAGGCACCTGATGTCATCATGGCGTGGGTGCGCCAGGCTCAAGTCACGTTCGGCACTCCTCTGAAGTGCCTTCATTCTGATGGCGGGGGAGAATTTCGCAATGGCAAAATCGATAACTTCTGCGCGGCCCAAGGGATTCGGCAACCTTCACGCTCCCTGAAAGCCCGCAGCAGAATGGCGTTGCAGAGAGCCGCAACCACACCTTGGTTCAAATCGCTCGCTGCCTCCTCAGTCACGCCAACGCACCAAGGTCACTCTGTGGATATGCCCTCTTCCATGCGGCTCTGCTCTACAATCTTTATGCTCATCCCCACCGGCCCGACACCATACCTACCACTCTCTGGCTTGGGGCCACGCCTTCCGCCCACTCTCTACGTATCTGGGGGTGTACCGTATATGTGTTGCTGAGCCCCCACACGGGTAGGAAGCAAGGTGGCAAGCCTGGTCCCAAAACCCAGACCTGCATGTACCTGGGGCACAACTCCGACTCCACAGACTACTTATTCCTCAACCCCATCACCAGACAGCTGATTCGCAGCCATGATATCGTCTTTGATGAGATACGCCCCTTCCACTCTGCGACCACAGGCGAGCCTCCTTCACCTCCCCCGACGCTTGTATGGGCAGACTTTGATGCCCCACCTCCGGCCGCTGCTCCTTCTCTAGGGCCTTCTTCATCCAGCGTGTCTCACTCGGCCTCCCCGGTATCCTCCGCAGCAGCACCTCCTTCTTCTCTGCCTTCCCCGCGCGTCCAGCCCGGCTCACCAGTCTCCTACCGGAGATGCACAGTCCCTCCGGTCCCCCCGCAGCCACCTTCGTCTCCGGTTTCTAGTCGCACTCGTTCCAAGGGACCGGCTCCGCCTCTCGCATGGGGACCAGCCGCCTTCTCCATCCGGTGTTCGGTCACCCCGCCTCCTCCTGCCAGGGGTGATGTCCCCTCCATCCGTATTCCCCCTCCGTGCACCTCTCAAGGACAGGCATGAGGAGCTGTTTGACCTTCACGCGGTCTGCCAATTTCTCTCTCACATCTTCCCGGACATTACTGACTGCCCTTCCCTCAACTTCACCGAGAACCCGACCATTCCGACTCCTCGCACAAAAGAGGAAGCTCTCTTGGGGCCTTATAAGAAGGAATGGAAGGCAGCAATAGATGTGGAGAAGGAGGCGTTCATTCGCAACAACAGCTTTGACGATGTCATTCCCCCTTCCGGTGTTAACATCGTCGGCGGAAAATGGATCTTCCGAGTCAAACTGTTAGAAACAGAAAGGTTGAGTTTATTGATGAAGCAAAGGCATTACATAGGAAGAGAGAGATGAGCTAGGAAGGGAAGGTTGGAAGGGAAAGGGGGGTTAGGACCAATCACAAGGGAGGGAGGATCCTTCCAAATGTGGTTGACCACCAGTTGGAGGTGGTCCAAGTGTGGTGTACCACCAGTGTTTGGGGGCTCCAACCACAATTGGGTTGGATTGACACCCCAACACAGGTGTACACCCAACTAGGGATGTAAACACAATATACACAACTAGCATAGCATGGTATATTCTAACACAACCCCATAGCATGCAAAGCTAGTGGATATGTAGGGTACAACCCCAGAATCAGGAAGGGGGGCGGGGCCCAAGGCCGAGAAGGCGGAGGAGGGCAGAGTGCGCGGTCTTCGGGAGGGCCTTGGTGAAGATGTCGGCCAAGTTGGCCTCTGCAGCGATCTTGCGGACCACCAAGTGACCTTGCTGGACCAACTCTCGAACGAAGAAGTAGCGGAGTTCAATGTGCTTGGAGCGGCCATGGAAGACAGGGTCCTTTGTGAGATGGATGGTGCTGGCGTTGTCGCACCAGAGGGTGGGACAGCGCTGAGGAGCACCGATCTCAGCAAGGAGGAAGGTGAGCCAGCGAGCCTCCTGAGCGGCCATGGTGCAAGCATAGAGCTCAGCCTCGCAGGATGAGAGGGCAATGGAGAAGGAGCGAGTGGAGCGCCAGCTGATGAGGCCGCTGCCAAGGGTGAAGCCGTAGCCTTGAGAGGAACGGCGATCCGGCTGGGAGTCAGCCCAGGAGGAGTCACTGAAGCCAGAGAGGAGGGGAGGAGAAGAGCCTCCGAGGGTGAGGACATAGTCCTTGGTACCACGGAGGTAGCGGAGGACCCGCTTCGCTGCAGCCCAGTGCTCATCAGTGTGGCGACCGGTACGGACGAATCGAGCAAGAACACTGATGGGGTAGGCAAGGTCGGGGCGGGTGCACATCATAGCGTACATCAGCGAGCCGACGAGCTCAGCGTAAGGATGGTTAGAGGAGGAGGGAGCAGGAGGAGGGGCAAGCTGGTGGTCGGTCTGCAGGGGAGTGGTAACCGGCTTGGCCTGCGCCATGTCGAACCGCTGCAAGACTTGGTCGATGTAGAAGGACTGAGAGAGGGTAATGGTGCGCGATGTGCGGTCCCGGGTGATGGTCATGCCCAGATAGTGCTTGAGCTCACCCAGGTCCTTGCACTTGAGGCGCGCATGCAGGGCGTCCTTCACTTGCTGCATGGCGGCAGCATCGTCAGCGAACAGGATCATGTCGTCGACATACACCAGGATGAAGAAGCGGGTGGGAGAGGAGCGAAGGAAAAGGCTGGCATCAGACTGAGAGGCATGGAACCCCAAGGACTGCAGAGTGGCGGCCAGCTTGTTGTGCCACTCGCGAGGAGCCTGCTTGAGGCCATAAACCAGGCGGCGCAGCTCCCAGACTGTGTTGGCAGGGAAGGCTGCATGAAAGCCTGGAGGCCGCCGCAAGAGGACCCGCTCCTGGAGCTCGCCTTGCAGGAAGGCGTTGGAGACATCCATGGAGGCAATCTCCATGCCAATGCGAACAGCATAGTCAAGGATGGCACGGAGAGTTGGGAGCTTGGCAGTGGGAGAGAATGTCTCCCAGTAGTCGATGCCATGGGTTTGGGTGAAGCCCTTGGCACAATACCGGGCCTTGTAGACCGGCTCCTCACCCGGCAGCTGCTTCACTCGGAACACCCACAGGCCTTCAACAATGACGTCGTCAGGAGAGGGGACAATGTTAACGAATGAGGCATTGCGGATGAAGGCCTCGCATTCAGCAAAGATAGCCTGGATCCACTTGGCAGCATCGGGGCAGGTGATGGCCTCAAGGAAGTTTGACGGAGTGAATCTGGTGGGAGCGGTAGCGATGCCAAGGATGAGGAGGCCAAGGAAGCCCGGGTAGAGAGGCGTGAGGGAAGGTGTTTGTTGCTGAACGCCAATGAGCTCCTCATGGGAGTCCTCAATGAAGGGAAGGGAGGGTGGGGGTGGTGTTGGCCAACCCCATGGATGGCCTATGAGTGGGCCGTGAGAGCGAGTGTGGATGCGTGGGAGGATGAACGGAGAGGAAGTGCGGCGATGCCGATGAGGTTGCTGCAGTGGCTGCTGCTGCTGCTGCTGCTGCTGCTGCTGTGGCTGCTGCTGGTGCTGCTGCTGCACCTCCTACTGCGCCTGCTGTTGCTGCACTGCCTGCGGTTGCTGCTGCTGCTGCTGCTGCTGCTCCATCCGCTGCTGCACCTCCTGCTGCTGCTGCTGCTGCTGCTGCTTCTGCTGCTGCTGCTGCTGCTGCTGCTGCTGCTGCTGCTGCTCCATCCGCTATTGCTGCTGCACCTGCTGCTGCTGCTGTTGTTGCTGCTGCTGCTGCTGCTCCTTCTGCTGCTGCTGCTGCTGTTCCTGCTGCTGCTGCTGCTGCTGCTGCTGCTGCTGCTGCTGCTGCTGCTGCTGCTGCTGCTGCTGCTGCTGCTGCTGCTGCTGCTGCTGCTGCTGCTGCTGCTGCTGCTGCTGCTGCTGGTGTTGGTGCGATGAGGCAGAGTGAGCAGGGGAGTCAGGGACAGCTGGGTCGTAAATGTCACCTGAGGAAGGAGGAGGGGGAGGAGCAGGATTTGGAGGAAGGAGGGGATCATGGGGAAGGAGTGGGGGAATGACAGCATCAGCCCAGGTGAGGGGGCGGGAGAGAGGAGGAAAGGGGTCGGAAGGCGGAACAGAATGATAGAACGGGATGCTCTCATCGAACACCCCGTCACGGCTCTGTAGGAGGCGGCCTGAGGACGGGTGAAGGAAGAGGTAACCAGGGGCAGAGCGAGCGTGGCCAAGGTAGACACACTCAATGGCCTTGGAGGCGAGCTTTCCTGCCTGCCGAGAGCGGTCAGGTGGGGGGATGAGGACATATGCCTTGCAGCCCCAGATACGGAGAATGGCAGCATCTGGCTTGGTGCTAGCCCAGAGCTCAGTGGGAGTGACAGATTGGCGTTGAGAATGTGGGTAAAGATTAGTAAGAAGAGCAGCATGGACAAGGGCATAGCCCCAAAGAGAAGGGGGCGTGGAGGCATGAGTGAGGAGGCAGCGGGCCGTCTTGGTGATCTCACGAATGCGACTCTCAGCAACACCGTTCTGCTGAGGGGAGTGGGGAAGGGTATGAGTCTGCTGGATGCCATGGGTTGAGCAGTAGGAGGAGAGGGTGCGGTTGAGAAACTCACCACCGCCGTCGGAATGGAGGCGGCGGATGGGGCGACCAAAGTGGACTCGGCACTGCTCGGCCCAGGTAACGATGACAGCAGGGGCCTCGGCCTTCGTGTGGAGGAGGAACACCGAGGAGTACCTGCTGTGGTCGTCGACTAGGACAAGCATGTACCGGTGCCCTTGGCGGGAAGGGGAAGGGTTAGGGCCCCAGAGGTCCATGTGGACGAGGTAAAGGGGGGCAGCAGCAAAGGAAGGATGACTGAGGTGAGGCTGTTGTTTGAGCTTTCCATGAATGCATGTGGCGCATGGGGGAGCGGAAGAGGACGGGAGGGGAGGAAGAGTGGGGGGAAGACCGTCAAGCAAGCGGGAGGAGACGGCTTTACGAAGTGTGGGAAAGTTCATATGACCAAGGCGGTGGTGGATGAGAACAGCGGGGTGGGACAGTGCGCGACAAGAGCATGAGGAGGAGGTGGAGTTGGAGGAAGGTGGCTCTAGAGGGAGGGGAGGGGGGAGAGTGGAGGTGCCTGCACGAGTGGTCACGTGGCATGAGGAGGGGCGGGGTGTGCGGAGGATGTACTGACGAGAGCGAGGGCAAAGTGGGAGGCGATGAAGGAGGCGGCGAGTGGGGCCGTGGAGGAGGTCACAGTAGGTGGCAGAGGCGGGGAAGAGGGTAGTGATGCCAGCCTGTTGGAGTTCACGAATGGAGAGCAGGTTATGACGAAGGGAGGGAATGTGGAGACCGGTGACCACTCCAGAGGGGAAGGGGGGGCAGGGGAGGGTGGAGAGATGAGTGCAAGGGATGGAGAAGCTGGAATCAGCACCATGAACGTTGGTGGGGAAAGGGAGGGAGGTGAGGGTGCCGGCGTCTTTGAGGGCAGTTTCAGTGGCACCACTATCGAGAACAAAGTCAATCGTGAGCGAGGAGGGAGCTGAAGACACGGGGTACTGGAAATCACTGGCATTAAAAACAGAGGGATACATGGAAGTGGAAGCAGGGGAAGAACGCATGAGCTCGCCTAGAAAGCTGGAGTGGGAGGCGGGAGCACTAGGGGAAGGAGAGCCCCAGAGGGGAAAGCCAGGAGGACCTGGTGTGGCTGTGGCAGCCATGGCGGCGGTGCCAAAGCCAAGCTGCTGCTGCTGCCATGCAGATGCTGCGGCTGCGGCTCCTGCAGCTGCGGCTGCAGCCTGACCACCAGAGCCCCACTGCTGCTGCTGCTGCTGCAGCAGCTGCAGCTGCTGGAAGCGGCGAAACTTTCTACAGCTCCTGGGGAGTTATGGGGTCAGCGACAGAGGAGGAGGAGGAGGAGAGTTGAAGATGAGAGGGGAGGAAAGACGGAAGAGTTTTGACATCCTGGAGAGAGGGGCGGGGATCCATGGCAGACCAGCGTGGGGGTGTGCCAGTGTTGCCGCGCTCGAACCAGGCGTCATCATACGCCTTGAAGCAGGTCGCGGGGGGATGGTTGGTTTGGGTGCAGCGCTCACCCGCCCTGGGACCAAAACGGCGAAGATAGGAACATGGGGGGAGAGTGCCAGGGCGGCCACCACGGCTACCAGATGAGCTACCACTGCCTCTACCACCACCACTGCTGCCACCCTCGACCCCGCCACCACCGCCGCCGGCTCCGCTGCCCCCACAACCGCCACCTCCACCCCCTCCCTGAGGGTTGGTGCGGCCGCCACGTGGGCGCCCGCCACGACGCAGCTGTGTGACTGCAAGCTGGGGGTTTTGGGACTCGGTGGAGTTCAGGCCGGAGGGGGGGGTTGAGAGAAGGCGGGCCTCAGCGTCAATGATCCATTGGACCACAGTGTCAAGGGAGGCGCGGGGCTGAGCCTCAGTGAAGGCGATGACGCGCACTTCATATTGAGGGGAGAGGCCTTCGAGGAGACGGTAGATCTGAAGGTTGGGGGGGAGAGTAGTCTGGCGAGCCTCAAGGCGGGAGGCAAGGTCCAGGAGACGGCTGGTGTAGTCAACGGCACCAGCACTATGTTCGATCGTGATGCTGAAGTATTCCTTGAAGAGCGGTCCGACAGCATCGAAGTCGGTGCGTTCGAACATTGCCTCAAGCTCGAGCCAGATCTGGCGGGAGCCGATGCGACGTGCCTGGAAGTTGCGCATGAGCGCAGACGGGATGGCAAGGAGAAGGGCACCAGTAGCACGGCTGTCCGCCTCGAGCCAGGCGCGACGACGCTCAGCAAATCGCGCAGAGTCAGCGGCATAAGCGGCGGCGGTAGCGGCATGCTGGGTGCGGAGGGTTGCCGACCGCTCGTGTTCCTCCAACGCGATCAGGTAATTAGTATGGAGCACGAGGAACTCACGACGCTGAGTAAGGAAGAGCTGCTCAACTTCAGCGGTGGCAGCGCGAGTGCTGGTGCCAACGGGTACCATGGGGGGCGGAGGTTCCTCGCCGGGATGGGGAATGAGAGGGGGGGGATCGCCAGGGTGAGGCGGCGGGTCCCCAAGGTCACCCTCTGGGAGACCAAGCATGATGTCCAGGAGGCGGAACGGCAGGACATAAGCACTGCCGAGGACGCGGTGGAGGCTGCCGACGAAGGAATACCAGTTGGTTGCTGAGTTGTCGGCAGCGCGCACGAGATAATCGAGGGTCGAGACGTCGACGGGAGGGGGAAAGGATGCCATTGGTGACACGGAGTGGGAGGAAGGCGACGGCGGGTGGACCCGCGGTGGCCGGGAGGGAGCGGCAGCGGGTGGACCCGCAGCGGCTCAAAGAGGAGGGGAGGATGGGGATGGCTGTAGATACTGCTGCTGCTGCTGCTGCTGTTGCTGCTGCTGCTGCTGCTGCTGCTGCTGCTGCTGCTGCTGCTGCTGCTGCTGCTGCTGCTGCTGCTGCTGCTGCTCCTTCTGCTGCTGCTGCTGCTGCTGCTGCTGCTGTTGCTGTTGCTGCTGCTGCCGCTGCTGCTGCTGCCACTGCTGCTGCTGCCGCTGTTGCTGCTGCTGCTGCTGCTGCTCCTTCAGCTGCTGCTGCTGCTGCTGCTACTGCTGCTGCTGCTGCTGCTGCTGCTGCTGCTGCTGCTGCTGCTGCTGCTGCTGAGTCTGCTGCTCCTTCTCGTGCTGCTGCTGCTTCTGCTGCTGCTGCTACGGCTGCAGCAGTGCTAAGGCGGCGATGAGCGTGCAGGTGAGGAGGCAAAAGATGGGGAAAGATGGCAGTTAGCTGATGAAAATAGGACTTGGTAGAAATTTCAGTAGCACTTCGTGATCACATCCAGGAAAGTGTGCAAACTTCGGAAAGCGATATCTGACAATCCAAGCGATGAAACAGTCCGAAATTTTACGACGTTGTAGCTGACATCAAGGGCGTTTTTTTGCAAGTCGAATCACTCAATTCTGTCATCTATCGAGCGAGCTATGGCGTTTGGCGCATTGGGGGTTTTTGAAAATCCACCCAACAGGAAACTAGTTGAGAGGCGGCGGCTAGGAGTCTAGCAGCGGCGATGGAGGGGACGGCAATGAGGTGCACATCGGAAGGGGACGGGGCGGAAGCGTAGGGAAGGATCGGGATTTAAAAGTTGGCGTGAGCCATTATTGCTCTATACCATGTTAGAAACAGAAAGGTTGAGTTTATTGATGAAGCAAAGGCATTACATAGGAAGAGAGAGATGAGCTAGGAAGGGAAGGTTGGAAGGGAAAGGGGGGTTAGGACCAATCACAAGGGAGGGAGGATCCTTCCAAATGTGGTTGACCACCAGTTGGAGGTGGTCCAAGTGTGGTGTACCACCAGTGGTTTAGCCAACCCACTTGTGGTGCCCCCACAATTGTGGTCCTTGTTTTTGGGGGCTCCAACCACAATTGGGTTGGATTGACACCCCAACACAGGTGTACACCCAACTAGGGATGTAAACACAATATACACAACTAGCATAGCATGGTATATTCTAACACAAACAACTCCAAGGCCTCCACTCCACTGTTCATGGCAAGTTACGTGGCAAAGGGTTTCACCCAGAAGGAGTATCTCAACTTTTTCGAAACCTTCTCGCCCACGACCAAGCTCCCGACTGTGCGCGGTTCTTGATATAGCCGCTTGCGGCAACTTCGAGATCAAGTCCATGGACGCCTCCTCCGCTTTTCTCCAAGGCCAGCTCAAGGAGGATGTTCACATGGAATGCCCTGGGGATGGAGATCACTCGTGACTGCCAGCCTTGCACGATCACCCTCTCCCAGTCCTACATCGACAACTTTCTCAAGCGGTTCGACATGGACTCCAGTAACTTTGTCTCCACTCCACTCCCACTACAGCATCAGCTGACGGCCCCTCCGATTCCTTCTCCTGACGCCTGCAAGGACCTGTACCCTGAGCTAGTCGGTTCAGTGATGTATGCCATGATGTGCACTCGACCAGACTTGGCTTACCCGGTTAGTGTCCTCTCTCGTTACTGTAAGAATTAGACTGCAAATAGCACTTTTGTATTTGTACTTTTATATCCTAGTTTAGGTGATCAATGTTCTAGTGGGTTGGGGTGTACTCACAAATCCCAACCTCACCCAATGGTGATCCCCCCAATCTCCAATTACCCAATTGGAGATTCCGGAGATCCCAATGGGGATTCCCTCCAATTCCCCCTTCATCCATTCTCTCTCACCTTGCCATATACTTATAGAGCCTTGGGCTCCTTACCTATTCAATCATTTCAACTCTATTTCTTACATGGTATCAGAGCGACCTATCCGCACACGCGGATCGAGGTCCTAATCTCAACGTGCCCGCGCTACGCGCACTTCATCGTCGCGACATTCGTTTTGAGTCGTCGGAATTTCGACGTGCTCCACTCTGCAGTCGCGCCTCTCATCGTCGACCGCCTTCGCGCACAACCTCGTTGAGTTTCTCATCTCTGAAGCTTTCACGCTTCTCATCGTCGATTTCCTCCTCGGTTCTCCTTGGTCGAATCTCTATTTCGACCATCTCTTAAAACTCGTTCTCAAGTTTCCCATTAGACCCCGCCAGAATAGGCGAACTCCCCTCGCGAAATCGCCTCCACGAACGTCTCGCGTCAAGCAAGAGCAGGTACACAGGTTGAAGCGGAGCGGAGCTGGTTGCGGAGCTGGTTGCGGAGCTGTGTAGCTGCGGGACAGGGCCTGGGGGTGTGTGGGGGGGTGTGTGGGTCCGGGGTTAGACATAGGCTCAGATTCAGTTTCAAGTCGGCGTTTTAACGAATTTTCGCCGACGCCATTTCCTACTTAGCGGCATTTTGATACAGCCGTCAGAGTGATTTTCAGCAATTCTCGTCGACCAATTTCCAGAAGTGCCGCGCTGCACACCGACAATGGCTTACTCAACCACTTCACTCGCCAACCCGATCCCGCTCCTTCGTCTCGAGCCGGACGGCACATGCTCCAACTACAAGGCTTGGCGCTAAAGTGTCGACAAGCACCTCCTCAGTCGCGAGGTGAAGGGGCTCGAGCTCACCGACGTCCTTCTCAACATCGGTGACGGCAAAGAGCCTCCTAAACCCGAGAGGTCCGCCGATCCAGCTAATGCCGCCGCCGAAGCAATTTATGCTGCTGCACTGCTCAAGTACAAGAATTGGGAGAAGGCCGATGGTGCGGTCATTAGTGTCTTCATAGGCACCACTCCTCCCGAACTCGTCGAAACCTACCACAACTACCCGTCTGCCAACGCCATTTGGCTCTACCTCGAGGATCGCTTCCTGAACAAGACTGCAGTGGGAGTTGCTATACTCATCCCCAGCATGTTCCAAGTGCGGCTCGAGGACTCGCCAGGCATGGCGGACTATGTCACCAAGGTGCAGTCCATTCATGGTGAACTCAAACAGTTGGGGATAGTCTTCCCCGAGCAAGCCCCTGCAGCCGCTCTCCTAGTCGGCCTCACTCCGGCATACGAAGTCACACGCAAGATGCTCTCGGGCCTTGCTCCTGCAGACCTCACATTTGCCAAGGTCTCATCCGCGCTCCTTTCTGCCGAAAAGGACAACAGCGCTCAAGCCAAGGCCAATGCAATCCGCGCTCCCGTGCCTCAAGCCTATGCCGCTTCGGTGCCATTCCAGCGCAACCGCTTCCCCCCGTGTCCCTATGTCATCAAGCGTGGCCCTCGTGCCGGCCAGGTGTGTGGCGGCACCAACCACGCCCTTGCCTCCTGCTTCAAGAAAAAGGATGACAATTGGTATGCCGTCAATGGGACCGCCTCGAAGCCGCCAAGCTGGATGGTCAATCGTGCTCCTCGCAAGGTCAATCAAGTCAAAGCGCAGGAATCCGTGCAGGCTGCTGTAGCTCCCACTGCTGATGTGCGCCTCCACATGTTGTTCCCTGGCACTGCCATAATTAATGAGACGATTTCGCAGTGTCCCGGCTCACAAAGCACCTCAGCCACAATAGAGTTCACCCTCGACAGTGGGGCCACTCACACGGTTCTCAAGGAAGAACATTCCTTCAAGCCATACGAGATACCAATCCGTCTACTAGGAGCAGACTCCAGTTTCACAACACACGCCAAGGGCTCCTCCACAGTTCCGTGCCCAGCTTTTCTTTCGGGCAGTGTCACCGGCATTTGTGTTCCCACACTACGCCAAAATCTCGTGGCCCAACACGAGCTCCAACGGGCAGGCGTCACCACGATCTTCCCAGCACACTCGGATCACTGTGACCTCCTCGACCCTAAGTCCAACAAGCTCCTAGCATGCTTCACACTCAACAGCAGCAAGCTCTACACGCTGCGTTCACCTGCACCTCTCGCCGCCCTCTCCCAAGCGCAAGCTGCCACCACCACTCCGTGTTCGTTTCGCAGCTTCGCCAACCCAACCATCCTCTACCACCATCGCTTGGGTCACCCCAACTTCCGTACATTTGCCGACATCGCTTCCAAGAAACTTCTTCTTGTCCTCCCGTCGGCGCTTCCTCCACCAACAGACTCGCCTGCACCCACCTGCCTGGACTGCACCAAGAGCAAGCTCAGGCAGCAGCCGCACCCTTCCTCCCCATCCGTCGCAGCTGCTCCGCTGGACCTAGTGCACATGGATGTCTGGGGCCCAGCTCCAGTCGCATCCCGAGGCGGTCATCGGTACTTTCTTACACTAGTCGATGACCACTCGCGGTATGTTTCTGTGCACCTCCTGCATTCCAAGGCGGAGGCACCTGATGTCATCATGGCGTGGGTGCGCCAGGCTCAAGTCACGTTCGGCACTCCTCTGGAGTGCCTCCATTCTGATGGCGGGGGAGAATTTCGCAATGGCAAACTCGATAACTTCTGTGCGGCCCAAGGGATTCGGCAAACCTTCACGCTCCCCGAAAGCCCGCAGCAGAACGGCATTGCAGAGAGCCGCAACCACACCTTGGTTCAGATCGTTCGCTGCCTCCTCAGTCACGCCAACGCACCACGGTCACTCTGGGGATATGCCCTCTTCCATGCGGCACTCCTCTACAATCTTTATCCGCATCCCCACCGGCCCGACACCACACCTACCGCTCTCTGGCTTGGGGTCACGCCTTCCGCCCGCTCTCTACGCGTCTGGGGGTGTACCGCGTATGTGTTGCTAAGCCCCACCACGCGCAGGAAGCAAGGTGGCAAGCTTGGTCCCAAAATCCAGACCTGCATGTACCTGGGGCACAACTCCGACTCCCCAGACTACTTATTCCTCAACCCAATCACCAGACAGCTGATACGCAGCCGTGATGTGATCTTCGATGAGACACGCCCATTCCAGTCTGTGACCACGGGCGAGCCACCTCCACCTCCCCCGACGCTTGTTTGGGCAGACTTCGATGCCCCACCTCCGGCCGCTGCCCCTTCTCCGGGACCTTCTCCGTCCGGCGTGTCTCACCTGGCCTCCCCAGTATCCTCCGCAGCGGCACCTCCTCCTGCTCCGCCTTCCCCGCGCGTCGAGCCCGGCTCACCAGTCTCCTATCGGAGGCGCCCAGTCCCTCCGGTCCCACCGCAGCCGCCTTCGTCTCCGGTCTCTAGTCGCACTCGTTCCAAGGGACCGGCTCCGCCTCTCGCCTGGGGACCAGCCGCCTTCTCCATCCGGTGTTCGGTCACCCCGCCTCCTCCTGCCGGGGGTGATGTCCCCTCCATCTGTATTCCGCCCCGTGCATTTCTGGAGGTCAGGCATGAGGAGCTGTTTGACCTTTACGCGGTCAGCCAATTTCTCTCTCACATCTTCCCGGATATTATCGACTGCCCTTCC